TCTCTCTCTCTCTCTTACTCTCTCTCTCTCTCTCTCTTACTCTCTCTCTCTCTCTCGCTCGCTCGCTCTCGCTCTCGCTCTCTATCTCTCTCCATCACCCTTTATATATCTATCTATCTATCTATCGATTTACCTGCCTGTCTTTCTATCTTTCAATCTATCTATCTATCGTTCATATTATTCCCTATTCAGGTCTAGTAAGGTGGTCAAACCGGCAATCGTGGTGCAGGGCTTAATTGCTTCACCATCGCAAGCCGAAGACGTGAGTTTGATTCCCCTTATGTGTGCGTGTGGGGGGGGGGGATTTTTTACTATCTCCATCTTTCTACTGGGATGCTGAATCTTTCTCACCAGCGGTCAGCTCTAACAGGCAGGGTCAAGCAATCTGCCTCCTAAAAGATCTAAACTGTATCAGCGGGACACACAGTACATCCACAATATTTCAAAGGGCGTTAAAACCAAACTTTTTTTTTAAAATCCTCAATATTTTTACGTTCCAAATACATTGTAATCAGCTTTAAGCTTCTTGTACGGATTTAGATCTGATGTTATTAAGAGACGGATTCTATCCATAACGCCTCGTCCCTCCTCAGCAGGGTCCTTAAACAAAAAGGGTGAACATAAAAACACTTCACTCACATTCTCAAGTCCCGTATGCCATCCGTCCTGACTGATACGCTGCCGTCCGGTAAAGAAGAAAAGTTTGTGGTCAAACAAGAGATGCCGTACTGGAAAGGCACATCAAAGGTCTCGTAGATGTACCATCTGCCCAGGAACTGTGGTAATGAAACGGGAAGGAAAAAAAAGGATTACCATCTTCATATTAGCCTCTCCAAACGAAGTAAAGTTATCTGAAGGCAGGGGCTCCAATTTGACGTCCAATTCCGATATGACGGAAAGTGCGTTTGGTTTTGTTTTTTGTTTTTTTCCAAAATGAAGTGGGAGAGCACAACATTACGACTTTTGACTAAGACTGTCCAGGATGACAGTGCTTTTAAGCCAAGGAGATGGGAAAATAGAAGTTTCTGAACCAATAGAGAGTTACCTAAATAGGGAGGTGGGTAGGTAGGCAAGTAATAAGGTTGGTAAGTAGGCACGTTGGTAGACAGGAAAGTAGGTAGCTAGCTAGCTAAGTAGTTAGGTAGGCAGTTAGTGGGTAAGTAGACAGTTAGGTAGCTAGACAGCTAGGTAGATCATCTACGGATATGAAAGTAGACCAATACAGCACAAACACGACAATAATATACTCTATGTAGTAAAGAATAGTGTCTACAACCACGACTAAACACTTATAAAAAAAGAAGGGAAAAAAACAGCAAACCAACTAAAATAAATTCTTACATTCTTCAGGTCAAAGGTCAACATGGATGGCACACTGGGACAGACGCCTGGCGAAAAGACGAGGAAGGCTGAGCACTCTATCACGAGAACGACCAGCACCACAAGGTATAGAACCAGAGAACACATCTTGTATCTCCTCACTTTGACGTCAAAGACACTGAAGATTATCCTGGATAGATATTAATTTGTTCTGTGGGTTAAATCAATCCCTTTTTTGCAAACGAGAGACAGTAAGTTATGTTTCTAAGTGTCTGTCTTTATAATCTATTAGATTGTGTACCTTGGCTATTCTCTAAGGTCTAATTGTGTTCTTGAGGATTATTATAAAGACCTTATTAGAAACTTAGAAACCAAGAGACAGTACGCTATGTTTCTAAGCGTCTGTCTTTATTGATGTTGCACTATGTATCCTGGATATACTATGATTTTGTGCTTGGTGAAAAGTCCCTTTTCTGAAGACAGGAGACATCAAATTATACTTCCCAAGCGTCTGACGTTACTGTTTGTTGTCAGTTTGTTTTCTTCTATTTCGGATGATGAAGTAATGGGCCCTGCCTGGTCAAATGAAGCTGTGTTGTTGAGGTTACGTTGACATCAGACGATGATGATCTCCCGATCGCTGAGAGACATTTCCAATAATAATAACAATGTCCCCTGGAAGGGGAGTCAGAACAGCTTATTAGTACACACTACTCCCGTTCTCTTTCTTCTGCACGCACCACAATGCTCCTTTTTATGCCTCTTTTCCTTTTATTTCTATCATTTATTTTTACACTAGTATCGTCTCTTCTGCTCTTTGCGAACTGTCAAGGCTTTGAAATAAAGCAAGATATTAGACGGGCGTTATTCACTTCAGATCAGGATCCAAATAATCTCCGATGAGAAAATGAAAGCGCTTTGTAGAGGGATCTAAAGTCACCTAGCTCGCGTGGTTTAAACTGAGATATGTCAGCAAGCCATGCTTCACAGAAATATAAAGGTACCGATGAGGTCAAATCTAAGGTCAAACTTCTGTCCCGACGATTTTGACGAGCTTAAAAGGGTGCGCACTTGTCCGACAAGTCGCATATTAGATTGGACATCATCATCATCATCATCATCATCATCATCATCATCATCATCATCATCATCA